GTGGAGACGGAAATCCGTGAGTTAGGGGAGGTGTGACATTTTTAGGGCCGACGTTTTCTAACCCTTCCTTCCTTGTGAGAAGGCAGCATCGCTGCAGATGCTGGTTGTCCGAGGGAAACACCTTACTGCTGTCACACCCCTCTGCAGTCAGCAGTACGACTTCGCCCTCAGACCTTGGGTAGCTGCTTTTAGTCTCATCGTTCTCCAATCGACCTGTCTGGCATGGTAGAACCTTGAGGAACATATGTTCCAGCCAGTATAGCTCGGTTGGGTCATCACGATAGGCAAGCCCGACCACCACGTCAAGGTAGCAGCTACGGTCGGGTTTCGCGTGGTCTCACTGGTGTAGGTATAAGCATTGAGTTCTGAAGCAGAACTAGTTCTTTTTGACTGGATTCCAGTAGACAGTCGCTTGCGAGCTGTTCGAACAAACGAAGTAAGGACTGAAAACGATAGGAAGACTCGCCGTTGCTTCTTCGTCGTCTCTGCCTACGTTCCCCCTGATTGCAGTTCGGATGAGGTAAAGGATGAATTTTGCAGAAATGCCTCCAACTTTCTTCTAAAAGTAGACACTCTGATGTAGTAATAGTGGCTGGCGACTTTATTACTCACGTAGGCAGACTAAGCGGAACGGGAATACATACACCTGGGTGAATCCTGCGGTGTCGTGGTCCTTCGAACAAATAATGGCGAGCGTCTGCCGCAACTACGCTCCAACAACTACCTATTTCTGGCGAATACCTACTTTAAACGTAAGAAGCAACATCTTTTGACATGGTGACCGCCAAAGTCAACTCGACGCGAGACCTGATTAGACTGTATTGGTTTCAGCCGTTGATGGGGAGACTCGATAGAAGACTGCCGCTCGTTGTGGATCACATGTTAAGATTCAGTCCTTGCTCTAGTACGAGCGCGTATCTATCTGCAGCTTATTGGACGCAAAAAGAAAGCTCCTTAGAGTTCAGATTAATGGTAAAAAGATACACGATATATTTCGAAAACAGCTAGACTGTCATGTAAGTGATGCCTACCCCGATGCAACTTCGAATGATATCCATAAAGCTATGGAAACTGCAGTGATATGTGCAAGTAAGTTTCACCAAAAATGTTAGAGAAAACCAGTAGATTTCAGTAGCATCCACCAAACTGACAGATGCTCGGAAACTCATCTCGTGTTGTTCTGGACACGATGAGGAGTGGAGGTAGCTTAGGCTCAGGTTGATAAAAAGCCCACGCAATGATCGCGAACAGCGGTGTGTAGATAAAGCAGAGAAAACGGAAAAGACAGCGATGATAGGTAGCAGTATACAACTATTCAGACTTTTCAAGGAAACTGGTATTGGGAATTTGTCTGTTAGTGAGATTATCTCAGAAAAAGATGCGACTATTATTCATTCTCAAGCCAGAAGATTGGATCGATGGGCAGAATACTTTAGAGAGTAGTTTAACTGTTCTTCAGCCACACGACGATTACTCACGATGTCCAGTTAATCTGAATGGCGATTTTAATTATGTTCTCCGACTCTTGATGAAGTTGGCAAGGCTGTAGGAAATCTGAAGCGAGGGAGAGCAGCAGACCCTGGTTGGTTGACCGCTGAGATTTCTATGGTTGGTGGTCCAGTTTTAGAAGTAAGATTGACTGAGATCTTAGCTAGAATATGGGAACTGGACGTAATGCCATCTGAATGGTCTCAACGACTGTTTGTCGCAGTCGATGAGAAAAGACAAAAGTCCTCCTGTGACAATCACAGAATAATCAGGTTAACTAATATAGTGATGATGATACTTTGACGCCCAACGTGAGCTCGTAAAGAACAGGATTAAGAAAATAAGGGAGTTTTTATACCTGAACGTGGATGTATAGACCAAATATTCACACTTCGTCAGGTCCTAGAACACTGACACATATTCAGGCGTCCCATAACGGTTGTATCGCTCGACCTTAAGCGGCATTGAACTTTGTTGGTGATGAGGTTGTATGTCAGTGTCTGTCATTGAAAGGAGTACCAAAGAAGTACATTAACCTCGTACATACTCTCTACTCGAACACTACTGGTCGAGTGAGAGCTTATGACGAACTGTTATCGGAATTGATTACCTCGAGTGGTGTTTGTCAGGGCTGTCCACTTTCTCCACTCTTATTCAACTTTGTCATTGACATGATTTTAGAGACGACACTTAGATCTTTTGACTTTTCAGAAGTTAACCTTCTAGCAGGAGACACGCTTGCTAACCTAGAATATGCTGATAACATAGTTCCATTTGGTGAAGATGTTGAAAAAATAGTCTCCTGACCACCTTAAGCATCAATGCAAGCATGTTCGGGATGTGATTCTTCCCCTCGTAGTGCAAAATGTTACTTCAGGATTGGCTTGCGTGGGCACCTGAACTAGTGATAGGGGGTGAAATTTTTGAGCGTGTTGACTGTTTTGCTTATATTTGAAGTCTCATCAGTGCTGATGTGTTGATGTCTGATGAAATCTCAGCACGGATACAGATGGCTCTATTGGCTCTCACCAACTTGCATTACTTATAGTGTGGGCGAGATGTCCATCTATCAAATAATGGACGATTCTACTGTGCCACATTTCGTTCTGTCCTAGTGCACGACTGTGAAACATGGTCAGTAGGAATAGAAGATATTCATAGTTCACCAGTATTAAGTCATGGACGTCTTCGAAGCATTGTTCGTGTGTTATGAGACTGTTGAGTGAGCGATGCTGGGGTAAGTAAAAGGATACTAGGTAAGGATGGCAGACCGATTGATGTTTAAACTTTTCGATTACTGCTGAGACTGCTACAACCTCTAGTACTGCTGGATATGAATTGACAGTTCCATCTCTGTGTTGATGTGGTATAGCAACTTGAATTAATGTTTATACTACCAGTTTCATGTTTTTACTGACTTACTGATAAACTAGTCAGAGGATTTTGGTCCTAATTTAGAAACAAAAGGTGAACACTAATATGATTTATTTCATGATATTTTCAGGTGTACCGATCATTTTGAGAATATTCTTCATCCTTGTAAATATCCCGATGTTTACAGATCTTGGTGATAAAAATTAGGTTTTGTTTCATTCAGCAACAGCGTATAAGTTTTTACTACGTACATCGGTTCAAGTTGTCATACCACATTAGCACAGAGAACCAGTTATCGATTCAAATCGCATAGTGGTAGAGCTAGTAGAAGTATGAGCAGTAATCAAAAAGATTAGGGTTTGGAAATGTTACTCAAGGAGTTTAATCTAGTGCGATAAATTTGAGAAGAGAAAGATGAAGGTAGTGAAAAATTCAGTTTAGAATTCGGGAGAACACAAAGAGTGGATGCACTTGCGCGATTGCTAACGATTTCGAGCCATATCATTCAAGGCCTCTAACCATCGGTTACTATTGTCTCGCGGACCCCAACCAGGTTTTCTACACTTACCAACATGGCTCAGTCCACTTTACAATGACTTCATAGATTTATGCCATGTTTTGGTCTCGCCGTTCGTAACCTTTTCCTAACCTACCGAAAAACATTGCTTGTCGAAGCAGTCGGTGGTTAGGCATACATAACGCATGTCCAAACCACCTCAAGTGATCAAGATTTACTACTTCATCAATTGGTCCTCCATCCTTACCAAGTACCTATTCCTTAACATTGGCTTTGCTTACTCGATAGTCCCAGGATATACGAGCAATGTTTCGAAAACACCGATGATATTTTGTCCAAAAAAGTGCAGCTTATAGTTTGAGTTCGTTTTTTTATTGTGTGGGATTCATATGTTTGTCATTCTAACTTTGCCTACTAACCTACTTATATCGGCCTAATGATAATAGTCATTTCTTAAAGTCTTCTGGGCTTCTTAAGTAATTTATTAACCCAGAAGTTTAAGACCTCAAAAAACGCTAAACGTGATCGAGAAGTCTGTTCACTGACAAAATAAGTAATGCTTGATCTGTTGCCGGAGTTATGCGTTTTCAAAATATATGGCAAATTTTGTTTACTTCATTTTCTGTAGTTATCGTGTCGGGAGCGTGGAAGTGAACTATTTCTTCGCGAAAAGGAAAGTTGTAGCGGCTTATCTATTGACTTCGTGAAGGAACTAGCCCAAGTGGTTAAATCCAGTATTGGCCTTCGACCCACATATATTTTTACTCGAATCGCTGATCTCCCCCAAAAGGAACGTTCTTTTTTTTTGAAGCCTAAAGTTCAAAACCTATCCAATGAACAATATTGCCCATCTTTCGTAAGTTTTTCCGTAACTTTACACTTTTACATTACCATTTCAAGTTATCATTACCTAATCGAAGTTTGCATAAAGCTATTAACTAGAGCAGATTTCATGTTTCTCGATAATTATGAATATTTGGAATTTTCTTGTATAGAGAAAGAAATTTACTTGGAAATTTTGCCGGTAATTGTCAGTTGAAATCATATATTCATGACCAACGTCTATTGAAGCGCTTCTATGTATTATATCACTAAGCTTAACAATCACTTCGCGTTTTGTAGTTGATAGGATTCAGTCTGGACTAAGTCAGCAGTAATTTGGCCATTTGTTGATGTTTCTTATAAACGAACTGTTGGGGATGTTAGATCCCCCAAATTCGCTTGATAATGCCTGATTTTGGTTTTCACGTTTGCCAGCATGAGCTGATCAGATGACCTTGAGGCTTCAATTCCCACCAAGAAAATCCATGGCTCTGATTGGCTGCTGTGTCATTTTAGTGTGCTATTTTCTTAACTGTCTCAAGGACGCTCCTATGTTGTATAAATAAACGAGAGTTGTATGCTTGATTGTACTGTGATTGCTGGGTGTTTGTAGAATATACTTCTACGCCTACAAAGCCTTTTATTTCGCTTTGGGGATTCAAGGTAGCCTACCTGGACGCTGGTTTATTGTCTCGTTCGCGTTTATCGACTGAAGTAAACTCTTAATACCCTCAAGCATACTAAGTGATGAACTTATCACAAACACTACTTTCTTGTGTTTTATTTGTTTTTTTTGTGGATAACTCAAATGCTGTTAGAGGTGTAAAAGCGCTTGTCACTTCTCGGTTCCCCATACCGTAAAAGCATACTTCTTAAGATGCCTTGAGAAAAATAAATTTGGTTGGCTAGTGCTCATGAAAACTGAAAGCATAAGTTCATATCTCGAGGAACGATTGCTTAATGTTGGTTGCATAAATTTTTGTGAGTGGTTTTATGTATTAGCTCCATATTTTTAAGGTTTTACAAGTCAGTGTTATTTGTTTGTTTCATTTTTTTAATCTATATAGATTTCTGACAAGACTTTTGATATTAATAACTTAGTTGCTTGCGATCTTTTGATTGGAGATGTGCTAATCGCTGAATCACTTTCAGTGTCTACATCCCTTGCACAAATCTGCACTGCGCGACAGGTATGTACGACAATTTAATTGCCTCATTGTTATAAATCCCTTTCAAAAATCACATTCACTTGAAGGTATCTTTAACCACTGACTAGCATTACCTGGCAAACCACAACTGACGCTAGACACTTATCTCTGGTTCGTGTATCTCTGAGAGACCCCATTTAAAAATAAACTATTTCCCAGGGCTCTGTAAAACTTAGATATACCGAAGTAAAAATCCTTACTCTCATTCTTGATCTACTTTGTATATGAACGTTGTTAGTAAAACTTTTTTATTGAACACAAAATTGATAGAATGGGATTTGGTCACCATACTCCATGATAAAAAGTTACGTGCTGTTACATTCACCAAGCTGTAGGCCCCTAACTCTTCATCGGTTGTCCAGCTGATATCACTGGATGGTTAAAAAAGGAACCCTTCTATCCACCTAACTAAATAGGTACATTCATTGTGAAATTCTTGATTTATTACTACATTACCTATTAGTTAACAGAGTTCAACTCTCTTTCCTTATCTCAAACTGGTTATGCTCTTGTTGATTAAAACGTGTTTTGCGTGGAAAACTAATTTAAACCCGTCACTTTTATGTTTGACTGTTGCTGTTTTCTTACTACTTCGAATGTAAGCTTAAATTTAACTAATTATGATATATATATATATATATATATATCCATCCGAGTAACGAAGATAGTTCTGACTCAGATCTCGGGTGCGCTCTTCTAGTCAATCTGATATTGGTTGTCTGGAAAAATCCATTCTTGATACTCTAATTGTATTAGACTTTTTTCTAAAAAGTTATAATTGAGCGTTTTGACCAAGTTAAAGTAAGATAGTTTACATCGCTAAAAATCAAAGTGCTGGGAGTTATGAAAATCATCCTTTAATGTTGAGTAAATATCTCCTTAATTTTGTCTGTTTATAAGTTTAACTTTTGCTTAACTGAGTCACTTATCATTGGGCGAATAGGGTAACATAGATAGTCTGCCTTGAAGCAATTGTTAGCAATGAAATGCTTTTTTATTGAAACCATCAACTGATCTATGTTGGATAACTTTTAAAATTGTGAAATCACTACATTTATGAACAACAATCTGATTTTGTTCTTTCTTTCCATATATCGGTATATCACTAAATCTTTCCATAGACTTCGTGTCCACTGAATTGATTTTAATGAATCATTTTGAAATGATGAAATAACCAGGCGGAAATCAATTGATGAAGTCACTGAGTTTTTATTTGTATTAAATATCTTTTATGTAACCATTCTGTCTCTTTGGTATTTTAGGCCTTTCAAATTCTATCTCGTCCATGTTTCCTTGTTGGATCTGTGCGTCAATGGGATGAGGTGGAGTATTTGGTTTTGTGTCTAAGTCCAAAAGCTGAAATAGTCCCTAAACTATCTCCATTTCTCAAGGATCCTTTTGAATCTAATTTAGATAAAGATAATGCTGAATTTGAATGTGATGAAAGCGTTACCACGGTCTTCACACCTAAACCATTTGATGATATGTGGATTTACCTAGCACAACTTCCAAAAGAAACATTACATGATCAGGTACTAAATTCTTATTGTTTATTAATCACATCAATAGGAATGTTACTGGATTAAAAGTAAATAAATGATATAAGTAATTTTATCCGTCTAATAAACTATCCTGTCTTACCACAGTAAATTGCTTATAGTTGATTCATCATAATAACTACTATGTTCTAGACCTTTTTTTAAGACTCATTCTAACAGCCAGAAACGTTATGAAAATGATCTCATGTCTTGTTTTGTTTTGTTTATCTTAAGTCTTTTCAACAGCTTTTACAGTACTCAACTTCTTGTGAAAAGCGGATACTGAATTTGTGTCACATTTCATGTTCACACCAATACTTTATAATCCTATGTATTACCTTCACCCAGTGTTATCCGTGTGCAACATTTGTTGATAAGAGTCAGCAATTCACCAATTCTGAAGAGACTTCCATTACAAATAAATTGACAAGAACGCTCGAAAACTTTGTTGTCTAGTTCAAGTTACATATTAACACAGATCATTCCTGAAACAACATTTACATTGTTTTAGATCACATCTCGGTCTCGTGACCGTGTAGGACTACGTAATTTAACACTTGGTGTTAGTGAAAGTATCTTCTGTCATAAGATCAATTCGTACATGTATAATTAACATTTTGACAACTTGATCTATGATGAAATAGATGAAAGTGAATTAAGTAAGTTCTTTCAACCCGGTCACTTTCAATGGTAACAGTGTGCTTAGTTTTAAAGATTTCTGGAATTAATTCATTCGGAATTGTTTCCTTAAATTGTTTCGAATTAGTTAAAAGGCTTCAATGTCTCTCGAAATAGTAAGTTGCCCATATCAAACTTGAATGTTATTGCTCATGCGTTTAAATATTCCTAGATCCTTATCATAATCAAAATGCACTCCCTCAGTCATATCATTAACATTTTTATCGGTGTGCTGAGCTTTGTGTGTGTTTTAAAAATAAGTTCTTGTAAAAACCAACCGAATTCGAGTTAATTTAATTCGATTCAGAAATAGGTTGTTATAAACTAGGATAGAATATTTGTCCAACATAAATACCAGCCAGCATTTACCAGTTCTTCAGCTGTAAGGAATTTTCGAAATCTCAATCTGGTGTAGTACGCGTAGCTACAAAAATATATTTTTTTGTCATCTCTATAAATAATCAGTTCATTCATCTTTTTCACATTGAGTAAAATTTTAATCTCTATCCGTGTTACACATGCTCATTCATCAAAGTAAGTCACCTGGTTTTCAATCTATATTTAGATCTGAATATAAAATCTTTACATTCACCAATACCATGTGTTAACATCCTCATCCTTGTTTGTCATTCACTTACTGTTAATTGTTACACAGGCTCATCTAGAACAAATTTTGGCCCAATCTGCTGAATTCAGTCAAATGGTCATCAGTTTTGAATTCGAAGTGCAAACCACCACTGGTCAAATTATTTGCAATACATTAATTGATAATCAGCGTTATTTAAGCATTGAAAGTTCAGATTTGTATGGTGCTCAACAATCGGCAATGAGTAGTCTGTTGAATAAATTGTGTACTACTCAACCTGTGGTTGGTTTAACATTCTCACGGGAAGGTAAAGTTGCTATAGGCCAATCATCAGCTGTATTTTTTCTCTTAATTGACTATATTTTTAATAATTGTACCTTCAATACAATATCAATTGTACTGTTTTATGAATATACGAATATATTTCTTCAGTATCAAACTGTGCCTTGTTTCAATTAGTATTGATTTTTTTTTGATCATTTCATTCTCCTTGTATATATGTATGATTCAAGTGCGTTGTCTATTGATCTTTCTGTTTGATTTATTTTATATATATATATATATATATATAATTTGTAGCGATATTTCTGAATTTAATATGATAACATGACTGATTTATCTGGCAACAATACCGAAGAAATAATCTCCAATTCAAAGTGTTTTCCACTGTGTACCATGCCTGAGTTGTCTTAATGAACAGAAATCGGTCCTACTTTATCGCTGTCTAACCAATTTGCTCTAATTAATTTGCAACCTTCTGTCATATAGTTAAGTGTGTCATCTGACGAACAGATTTGACAGGTAGTTGAAATTTTTTGTGACAAGTTAGATCCTACTGATGAGTCTCAGTCTACTTACAAAAGTTCATGTACATACGTACGAAGTTCTACGTTGCAACTGACTGACTGACTACAAAACACTGTAACATTGCTTTTGTAACTTTTATCAACCCTAGTTCTATACCCTGAACTCGTCCCAAGATAATTGTTTGCTGACCAATACCCCTCAATGTAAATTTTGTTCAGAGATGGATGTGTATTGACTGTTAAGCTAAATGCCTACTTATTCTCTCAGTGAAATTGTCTCCAGAACTGTTTCACGTTCTGTGTTTTAAGACTTTTTACATGGTTTATTGTTTTTGTTTATTATTTTAAAAAAGTATATTCTGTTTGTATTGGTCTATTACTGTCAACCTATGGCTATGATGCATTTGGATTTATTAACTTTTATTACCGTCTCAATCAGTTAAATACGGTTTTGGTTTAATTGAGAATAATCATCAAAAATCAATCTTCTTCTCAATTATTTTATAATATCGTTCATTGCAATAGTTGTCAGTAAATAAGCCCGTTGACATATATTTCAATGAACTATTGGTAATTAGGTCTAGCTCGTATACACTTCCGAATAATAAATTCTTTTGATTCGAATTGCTTTAATTACGTGTTAACAACTTAGTTTTTCTCACTATTAACACATTGTAGAGGATTGCCATCGTCCAGTGCTGTCAAGTTTTCAGTAGTTGTCTAACTTGGGTCGGTTCATGATTTCAGTAAGAACCAACAATCTCCACAACCCGTACTGACAATAATCTTTAATATTTACTCAGATAAAGACTACAGCCCAAAACTAGTGTACTAGAGTTCTATCTAAACCACTTATTTCCTATCTAATCACGAAGTCTAACTTATTTGTTACAGATGGATGTCTCAGTATTGATAATATCAGGAAGCACGGCCCAATGCACCTAATCATGACCTTGCCATCTTCACCAACTGAGGTGGGACGTGTGTTACTTATCCCCATCCACTGACTAACATTTCAAGCGATGTTGTTTGGTGTACAAGCAGGCTGGAAGGAAGCTAGTGGTGACCAAACGAAGACGTAGCACCAGCTCATGGAGACACTGACTACTGAACTTGAGTTAAGTAGATACAGACTACCTAGTTAGGATAGGCGTTATTATTGTAACAAGTGATTAGAAACTTCGAGTAACGTAGCACAAAGTCGTTCGCAGTAGCGCAAATGCATTTAATCATTGTCTTCTCTTAGATCCTAAATTTCTACATTCCTCAAAAATATCTTTTACTCACTCGAATTTTTATCCCGATTTTTATCTTCGATACCTAGTCTTTCGCACCACCTCTGATACGTTTACTACCCCTACTACTCTGAGATTTGTCCTGATTATTTCATCTGTTTGTGCTAATTTAGTGTGGCAACGTGAACGGATGTGCACACAAGCTAGGTTCTACCTTGTGTGACTGAGTGGGTGACACTGACCTGCGTTAATAATAATAATTGACCACATTCTCACTTTTACAGGTTTCAACCTTACAGTTTTCAGAGACGTGTATATACACTCTAGTGTACAATGTTGTTTTTTAAAGTTTACTACAAAAAAATCAGTTTTCTAAAAGCTAATCAAACGAAGTTTTTGTCAGTCATTTTACAATTATCATCTGTAGAGTATTACTTCAAAACTAATTTTCACCACATATAATGTCAAAGCTAAGTTTGATAGTTTTTTATGACTACTGTATTTTTTATCGTAACAGTAACTGTTAACGAGGAAAATCTGAGGTGACCACAGATAACTTATTCGACATTTGCTACCATGCATCACTCGCAATGTAGCCAGCGTATTCATACTTATCCAAAGACAAATATATACGAGAGCACAGCTTCTCTGTCAAGGATATACCTGATAGAACTAACTTAAGCTTTCAACGAAGGAAGCAAAATCACTGGATAAGTGCAAATAAATCACCTCTCAAAAGACTGGTTAATCACTTCGATTAATGATTGTTGCAAAAATGAATTTAATTTACGAATTGATGCAAGTGATTTATGACAGCTTGTGGATTATTGTATAAATTTAGGTCTCCATCGTACAGACTACATATCCACCATTTAAAAAATAATATTCTCTTTAACGTTCATATATAACTGGTAAGTAGTATTACTCCTATTTTCATATATTAGAGACACGTATAAAACAAAACTTTTGCTTCTTACCTATATATTATTGATATTAATCAACCTCCAGATCATGAACTGTTCAGGTGAAGTATTTCGCCCTGCTTAAACGTGTTACCCCTAACGGAGCATAGGCCGCTGACCAACATTCTCCAACCAACTCTATCCTGGGCCTTCCTTTCCAGCTATACCCAATCGCTACCCATTTTCCTTATGACTGTCTCTAATTCTCGGCGCAGTGTGTCTCTTGATCTAGCTCTTTCCCTTAGACCTTCAGGATTCCAAGTTAAGCCCTGTTTCGTGATGTGCTTGAGCGGTTTCCACAATCTAAGTCCTGTCCAAGTATTTCACCTTGCGTCCATTTAATTGATGCACTACGTGATTATGATGATTGTAACAAGTGATTTTGTATAGGTTTGTGAAGGATTTTTCATCTGCTCTTACATATACTGGGTATAGCCGTTTAAATTATAAGCTACGATTACTTCCAGTGTTTTCAGCATCCAATACAGTTTGCACATATCTGATGCGTCTTTATTTTTCTGAATCAAAATATGCAGGTTAGGATTTCAGAAAATTATACCAGCACTTAATTGCTTTCTCAATTGAACCTCAGTGAGCACCATCTTTGTTTTGTTTGTTAGTTTACACAACATGTGATCTATAATAGCCACTTACTGACGGGACTGCGATTCCATATGTATCACTGAACTTTCAAACAGTCATCATATTGAAATAGTGACAGTCACTTGCATTCTGTTGTTGTTTATTATCTCCATTCTCATGCAACACTAATAAATTAAGTTCACTTGGCATAATCAGATAGTTATTGGCACTATGGCTGTACGCAATTTGTGATGTCCAGAATCTTTGGGTTCGTTTTTAGTGTTGGATATTATCGTAATTTTGGAGTTTGTATATTGTTGATATTAATTTTATGTTCATAAATCACATAACTTCTATTCGTTATGGATTATTGTTGCAGACAAGTTCGAAGATGACGCTACTTCACATCTCTGGGGAATTCCCGAATATGTTATGGTCGAAAATCTTATGTGGGGTAGAGAGGAACTGGATTCACCAATACATTTTGAACAGCTGGAAGCCCATTGTGAAATTCCACCTTTATCTCCAACACATCTTATTTGTGATGGTAAGTGATTTTTACTCAGAAATTTTTGAACGAATTATTAATAGTTCATGTGATTCCTAGTACCTCTTGTTTCCTATTATATCAAACATCCGCTTACAACCATGTTGAATTTGTCATTTCCAATGTCTGTAATTGATTTGAAATAAAACGTATTGATCATTACTAGTTAACCGCTCTTACATCTCCCTGTATATATGCATCTGTTCAATTATTTAAACTTGAAACCCTGGTGTTCTTCATCCCCATTATTCTATTTGTTGACAATTGATCTCTCACTTTATCGCTTAGAATGCTTGATCAATGTTGGTTTGTGCGTAGTGTAATCTCACCCGGTAATCTTCAAACTTAAGAAACCCGATCCGCCCGATTATACATGATATTAGTAACCGAGGAACTTTAAATTAATTCAAAGATGTTGATTGTTAAGTGCAAACTTTCAATTTCTGGTTCAATTTCGTAGTTATTGTTACTTAAAAATGCTAAATAACACAACTTACACTTTTGAATAAATTGTCTATTGATTCATTTATTTTTCTTTAGGCTCACTTAGTAACAACAATCATGAAGGAATAAATCGGACTACTCTATTTTCATCGCCAATCCTGATAGAAAGCTATCTCCAAGCATATGCTGCTTCAGCTCTAGTCTCTCCGATTTGCATTCTGCCTACTGTCGTTCCAATCAATCTCTGGCCAGTTGTACGACAACATGCTAAACGTTGGGGTTTGTTGAGTCGTGTGGAAGTAAAGCATGGTGCAGATCCTCCCAGTTTCCTTATTGTTTGCAAACGAGTTCCACTATCTCGATTAAAAAGATCATTGTATGATCATCAACAATATGGTTGCTTTTATTTAATTGATAAAGGAAATCTTACCACTGACGCTTTAAAGCGTCTCTATCAAGCTGATCCACTTTGTTTTAGTGATAGTGATGGTTCAACAACAAACAATAACATTCAATCAACTGATCCTATAACTAATATCAACACACTGCCTTCTTCACCATCAACATTTTTTGAAACATCAGATCCGTACAGTGATGAACCAGTTACTCGTTACGCTCGTGAGTTCCTTTCTACGCATAAAACATACATTAAAAAAGAATCTAACGATGATAGTTGTAACTTAATCAATGATGATTGTGTACTTATAACAGCAGAACTAAATCAACCGTCAAATGCTATTGAAATATTAGATGATCTTCCTAAAACACTTATACCGGGAATAGATTTCTAGTATTTTATCTTTTCAGTAAATTGAAAAAAAAAAAACTAGATCTTTCCCTATATTTAGATATTTTGGCACCGGTATGATTTTTTATACTCTTTTCGACCAATTACTGATAAAAAAAATTGAAGAGCATTTTTATAGTTTCGCATTTATTCTATTGTTGTTTAGTTCTCCCAGTGTTATTTCGTATTATCATGTTTTTTATGATGTGATATATATATATATATATATATATCACAAGTACTGTTTTGTATAAATAATTTGTTTTCCCCGGGTAATTGACGATCAGTTTATCAAATAATAATTATTTTTCTTGATACTTCTTTCTGTGTTCCTGTCATTGGTTTTTTTTTCAGTCGTACCAATGCTTTCTCTTTATCATGAGTAAAATATTCTGTTTGACAGAAATGACAAATGATTGATGCAATGACCGAATATTCATTTGAACTATTGCAGTTAATGTTTGTTTATAAAAGCGGTTTTGTATGATAGGATGCAAAATGGACTGATAAGTCTTTTGTTTGATTTATTTGTGTTAACAAAAATCTGTTGTCACATTTGATGATTCGGATGATGTGTTACACTTAATTGGCTATCTGATGTAAACGAGGTAGTACTGAATATATCATTGGAAAGTTTTACTGTAAATCACAAGCACACTTGTCTGAGATATTGGTATGATGGTTTGTATTGTCACATATTACTGAGAATCAAGGTTGGAATAAAGTTTCATAGAATGTCTATGATGTAACTGAGAACTAAAATTTTGATGGGACAAGACGTAGTTTATTTGATAAATGTGATGTCTTCGCGCTATACATTTCTAAGAATCTGCTTATACATGTACTTGTCTAGGTGGATAGTTGTGGTGGAGTTTCATTCTCTGTTTTCGTTGTAGAGCTTTAGATAGAAGTTTATGCTGATGTTGTTTAGAAGAATAATGAAAGCTCCACAACCAAAACATCCACTTCAAAGAATGAAACTCCACCACTTCTGAAGGTTTTTTATATACAAATTCGTAAAAGTTCAAGTTAAAATTGTAAACAAAGGAAATAGAGAGAACAGGAATTACCCAAGTCATAATAATACGGCTTAGCGATTACCAGAGTAAATTTAAGGTTATAAAGTGTTTCTGTACATAGGGGGTGGGTCCAAATTTAGAAATAGCCAAGGTTTCTATAAACTTCCCTTCTTGAACATTTCTATACAGTGTTTGAAGGGCTGTGTTTGATGTCAATCCTATGCCCCGTTTCGATTATGTGTTTTGCTTTCGATGAACATGGTTTTCTGTTTCCCACATATATCCGGTCATTTGACGTTAACTGAGATCACATGATAACAACTTGAACTAAGCAAGTGAAGAATTTAGAACACCGTACTGATGATGATCAAGTTTCATTTGACTCGATATAGTCAATATAGCCACTTGTCTGGTTATTTTGTTGACTGTTTTTCGTGAAGCTACTTGTTAATCACTCCAGTATATCTTCGTTTTATTTGCAAACATTAGGTATTATAGTGCGTAATTTTGAAAAGCACACATGGTATCCATTCAAAAGACAGAGTGTCACAGATACGAATATCAAGAGGGGTAATATTATTTTAAGGGTTTGAAATTTCGTGGGTTTGTTATCTGTCTTTCTACCCCTACAATTAATCTAAGATGTAGTTTTTTTCAACGTTCATTGAAGATTCTACTTTCAACGAGTACTATGATTTTCCGAATTCAGTAATAGTTTGTTATTATTACTCTAGTTATGTTATTTCACACATCTATTTATATAGTGAATCTAGTTGGCTTACTTAATCAGTCAGTCAGATGCAACGTAGAACTTTGTACATAAGTACATCAGTTCATGTTGCCATACCACATCAGCACAGAGAAGTAATCGTCAATTCAAATCCAATAGTAGAAGAGGTAGTAAGGGAATTAGAAGTAATCAGAGAGGTTAGGATTAGAAGATACTATTCAAGAAGTATGATTCAGTGAGAAAAGTTTAGAAAGTCAAAACTAGAGGTGTTGAAGAACCCAGAAGGTTAGGATTTGAGAGAACACATGAATAAATGCACAGGCGCCATTGCGAACGTTTTTGAGCCATGTCATTCAAGGTCTCTAACCATCGATTATTATCATCTCGCGGACCCCAACCAGGTAGTCGACAATTACCGATATGGCTCAGTCCACTAGTCAATGACTTCATGGATTTGTGCCATGTTTTGGTCTGGTCGCCCTCTAGCTTTCTTCCAACCTATTCCTACACTACAAAACAAAGCTCGTCGAGGCAGTCGGTGGTTAGGCATACGCAAAACATGTCCCAACCACCTCAACTGATGAAGTTTCACTACTTCATCTATTGATCTGCCATTCTTACCTAGTACTCGTTTCCTAATAACAGCATTGCTCACTCGGTTGTCCCACGGTATACGAGCAATGCTTCGAAGACACCTATGATCGAAAACCAGTAACCTACGAATATCGTCTACTCTCACTGGCCATGTTTCACAGCCATATAGGAGAACGGAGCGAACTGCACAGTACACCCGTTCTTTGGTTAGCGAACGGATATCACGCCTACGCCATAAGTGACGCAGGTTGGCAAAAGCCAATCGAGCCTTCTGTATGCGAGCTGAGATTTCGTCAGTCACCAGGCCATCGGCACTGATGAGACTCACGAGATAAGTGAAGCGATCTACACGTTCGACTACTTCACTCCATATCACTAGTTCAGGTGCCGATGCAACCCAGTCTTGAAGCAACATTTTGCATTTCGAGGGGAAAACCGCTTACTTAATAATCCGTATAAGTTTAGTTCTACATTAGCAATTGTTAGACATTGTCTTTTCGTTTACTACCGAGTATCATTTCGATACGATATACACAGTTTTTATTTATTTTAATGGCACATACTCTTTGAATTATATCAATTATATGTTTGGCATGATATCTTTTATTATTCATTGTAAAGCAAGCTATTTTATAGAAATGGAATCATTAAGTGATAAAGATCTATAGAAAAGATAGCTGTTAGAGAAGAATAAATTTCCTACGAGAGATTAAGATCGCGGAATAAAAGATTTCACTGATATTTTGTAGATATTTGCAAAATCATGTAAACGACTCTATGTATGTTTCTCTGAAATTATTTAGTTAGGAAGTGACTTTGCGTAAAGCATATTTTATATTCATGTTTATATGGGTGATTGCGAGTAAATGTAGGTATTCAAAGTAAGTGTGCCTTTAAACAGCTTGTGTGATGATCCCAATCCCGTGGATAATAAAACTTTTTCCCTTTATTGCAACAGGATTTAGCACTTTGAGCTTAGGCTACTTGATTTGAGTTTGCATGATTCACCTAACCAATGGCTGGGGACATGATACAGCTGAATTCACTCGCTTAGAACCGAAATCTCTTACCTTTTCAGTTTGTGCGTCTGCTTTTTCTTACTACTACTTTTCCGATCTTAGTCTCGGAACAATCAATCAATCGATGTTATAGTTTGCTATGGCGATTTGAAATGATGCACTTATATATCACGTTCTCTGTTGAACACGTCTGTCAAATACTTCAGCTGCTCATTTTTGTATTTAACAATGCTCTTTCGAATCAGTCGAACAATAATCATCCATGGAATGTTTATTGAAATGTATGTAACCACTGGTACAGTCACTGACTTGTAAATTACGCTCTACAGGACTACTATGAACTTTTGTTTACCTAAATTATTATTTGACGCGAGTTGAAATTTCACCAGAAACCTTCAAACTAAAACATCGTGTTAGTGTTTAAACTTTTTATGTAGACACATTTCTGTATTAATCAAAGCAATTATTTATTTTATTTCAATCAAAGCATGTTGAATCGTGTTGATTGTTTTGTAGAGAACTTGAGTTGTTTGTTTTTTTAAGAAACAACTTAAATATAGTCAGATTGTCAATTCTCTACTCTCATGTGTATGTATCACAAATATTATACCATTTTCACTATGAAATATTCACTATCAACATTTAATTCTATTGTCACTCCATTTTGTAAAGTATCAAAACTCACTGGAATTTCTTACAGTCCGCTACAGAATAATAGCAATCTAATTTTTATGTGAAATTTTTTTAGCTTCTTACAACCCTTTTTTTTAGGACTAGATTAATTGCGAAATCCTATTTTAATCCAGTATAATATTTAGGTGATAAAAAACTCGTTTGATTTTAGTGTGATATCTGTTCAGTCACACTTTCGTTGCCATTAATTCAAGTATTTCCCAAAAAATCTCACTTAACAGTGCCCCATCGAGGCTAACAATATAATCTACGACGCGCGTTCCGTCCTGTTTGTGTCTTGTCAGCTAGATGTACTTGAATCAAAGAGTTGATGCTCACTACAGAACTCGAACCCAGCACCGTACGCTTCAAACACTATCGAGTTTGCAACTTAGCTACTGATTCCAGATATCCTTTGCTTGTGCAATATGGTAAAAATTATTTCATTTGTATTGGTTGTTCAAATAATTACCAAATATTCACACTTCGTCAGGTCCTAGAACACAAAGACACATTCAGGCGTCCCACAACGGTTGTATCGCTCGACCTTAAGCGGTGTTTAACTTTGTTGGTGATGAAGTTCTATGTCAGTGCCTGTCATTGAAAGGAGTACCAAAGACGTACATTAACTGTGTACATACTCTCTACCTGAACACTACTGGTCGAACTGTCATCGGAATTGATTGTCAGGGCTGTCCACTTCCTCCACTCTTATTCAACTTTGTCATTGACATGGTTTTAGAGACGACACTTAGATCGTTTGACTTTTCAGGAGTTAGCCTTCTAGCAGGAGACACGCTTGTTAACCTAGAATATGCTGATAACATAGTTACATTTGGTGAAGATGTTGAAAAAATAGTCTCCTGACCACCTTAAGCATCAATGCAAGCATGGTATGGGATGTGATTCATGCCCTCGTAGTGCAAAATGTTACTTCAGGATTGGCTTGCATGGGCACCTGAACTATTGA